CCTTATATTGCTCTACTATAATACAAAGCTAATTAAAGATATTAAGCTCTTTATATACTTCTCCTATATTATAGATCTTATCTTTGCTAATAACGTTAACTATCTTTTAAGCCTCTAACTATTAAAGCTGCTCTAGATCTTTCTCTTTATAGAAAAGATCCTTATTAAAGGTAATATTCTGCGTTGTAATAATCTAATTAAGCAAGGGGATCTATATCCTATATATATTAGATGCTCTGTATCCCACTAGATATCTAATATAACCCTAAGGGTTCACCTTAAAAACCCTCTTGTGACGCCTAGCTGCTTAATCTTAGTTAAGGGGGTAAGCTTAACAGCCATAGGCGTATATTCCGCTCCAATTAGGGCGGAGATTAGTAGTTGCCTCCCTTATCTACTCTAGTTGCCACCACCTAAAGTATCTAGTAAACTAACAATCTAGCACTTTATTAGGTAATATTATATTATAAGTATAAGACAGGCTTATATTATAGAGCTAAGTTACTACTTTAATAATTTTAGGCTAGAGCTTTATTAGTAGGTTAGCACTAATCCTTATTTTAATTAATTTTATTATAATCTCCTGCCCTACTCTTTCTGCTCCTCTATTAGGTTTATAGGTATATACAGGTAAGCTCTTAATCTTAATACTATTGTTAGCTGCCTAGATCTAAAAGTAAGATTCGCCGCGCTAAGGGAGCGTTACAACGTTGTTATCTTGTATAATCTTAACTATACTAAGCTTATATTAGTTAAGTATTAAGCTCTTAAAATTTTTAAACACCTATATAATCTTATTAAGGTTTTTAGCTTATAGTAGATAGGTATAAAGCTTTCCTAAGTAGTCGCACTTTAATACCAAGATCTATTGCTTGTAAGCTATACCTATTAGCATGTTAAATAGATCCTATAATACCTAGTAGTATAGACGTAGTAATCTTTCCCTTAGTTATCTTAATATAACCTATTAGGCATGTGTAATAGCGTAGTGCTCGCATTTGCTCCTAGGAGTTCCTTTAATCCTAACGTTTATTGCTAACTTAACTAGAGCTTTAAGCGCCTTAGGTCCTAAATAGCCTAATTGTTAGTGCTAAAGCTCCTTACTGTCGTGTCTTAGGTAAGTCGTCTAGGATTATTAGGGTTGTTTAGGCACTATACTTTAGATTATTTAATAAGGGGTAGAGGGCTTGTATTCTAGGAAAGTTAAGTTAAACTTGCGCAGTAACTTGGCTAATATAACGCTCTTTTCTAATAATCTAAACTATAAGGTGGCATCTAGCCTAAGGAACTAAACTCCTGCTTTAAGTAATTAAGCTTCTAATATAATATTTACATAAAAACCTTCTACTAACACTACGTTAGTAAGCACTAAATCTTCTGTTTTTAGACCTCTTAGTCTATTAAGAGTATTAGGGATTACTCTAGTCCCTCTACCTAAGATTAGAAAAGCTTGAGTTCCTACTTTAACTGTCTTATATTTAACTAATCTAAACAAGCTTTCTTCTAGGTAGCTTATATTATTAACTAGGTGCACTGCACCCCTGTTGTTAAAGATAGTGCTCTTTAATAGAGCGTAAGCTTTAAAGTCTATAGTTAAATAGATCCTGTTTGTTTTCTCCGCTATTAACATAGGGTTAATTAGTGCCGCCTAGATACTGCCTAGATAGGTGATCGCGTTTTCTTTTGCCTTACTACTATAATCTTGATTAATAGGATAGGACTTGATTAGAGTTTTTCTTAACTCTTTGAATTTTGGATTCCTATTAATCTTTTTCTTAATCTCTAATTATTAAGTGGTAGTAAGCTTGTTACCTGTATTAATCTAAGCTTTAATAACGTTTTTGTATTTAGGAGGTTTCTATAGGTAAGATCTACTGCATAGATATAAAGACTCCTTCTTAGGTTAGTTAGAAGGTAGAGCTCCTATTATTGCAAACACTCTAGGACCTTTAGAGCTTAATCTTATATTGTTCTCTTAGAGAAGTAATAAATAGATCTTAGTAACCTGTAGGAGGTTATAAGTTAGCTCTCCTATTACTAACTTTTTAATAATCCTTTAAAATATAGTTTAACCTTAATCTAGTAAGATCCTAGTAGATAGAGCTTTAAGATAATCCTGTACTATAAGCTATCCTTTAATATTAGGAACGTTATATACCTTAGCTTGCGCATATAGGATTGTCTACTCCTTCTACTAGTAATTAGCGTCTTAGCTACTTATTCTTGCCTTAGCAAGATAAGCTTTGTACTGCGATCTTGCTAGTATTACAGCGCTTAAGTTAGTTAGCGCTAGGTTATTACAGAGCACTTAGATAAGTGCTTAGAGGGTTACTCTTCCTTAATTAACAAGCTCTATATAGGCTAGGGTAAGGATCCCTTAATCTACTATATTATTAACCTATATAAAGAGGTTCTAGATTGCTAATAACTTTAATGCCTAATCTAATAAGCGGGCTTAGTACTAAGCTATTTAGAGCTTGTACTACTTGCTTATTATATTAGATAGCGCGATATCTGTTAGCATGTTAGGCTTAATAGGTTTATTTTTAAAGTGGTTTTTAGTATTTAGAGCCTTAGGGTCTACCTCTACCTAGATCCCTTTAGTTAGGGCATAGTATCTGAATTAAATATACTAGGTAGGCTAGTTAGTTAATCCTGTAAGTAGGATATCCCCCTTTAGGATTTAGTTACTTATAGTAGAAGAGTAATAAGTAAGCTTTTGCTTAAGAAATAGTATAAAGAGTAAAGCTTTCTAGCTTAGTGTCTAAGTTAAATAATACGCTTAAATAGATAGGACAATCTTTAATAAGGTAAAGCGCGAACTAGGCTTATAACTATAGAAATTTAGATTACTAAGGTTAGGAATAATTTAGGAGATAGATTATTAGATTGTATCTACTACGATTGTACTTATATATATAGAGCTTTAGCTACCCTTACTAGAAAGTGAATAATTAGTAAACCTTCCTTACTAGAGCTCCTGCTTTTTATTAGGCACTTAGCAGTAAGCTGGCAGTTGATTAGATAGTGGGTCATACAGGGGTATTGATCGGGATTGATCGGGATTGATCGGGATCAAGATGCTCCGTGATCCAGTTGATATCCCTCCTGCAACAATTTGCCTTATAGAATATCTATAATAACGCCCTCTCTATATAGCTATAATCTACCTAGTATTAGTTAATAGGAAAGACTAGGTACTATATAAGCTAAAAGCTAAGACTACTAACTATCTAAATTATAGTCTAATACTACTAACTATAAAATTCTTATACCTTTAGTAATTCCCTAGGTATATTATAAGGGTTATAGGGGAATATTAATAAAGTTCCTACTAATCTATCTTACTAACTTTTCCTTAACTACACTAAAACACTAGCACCCTAAATTAACTATTGCTTGCACGTTCTCTACTCTACCTAGGAGAAGGGGAATAAAGAAGGGGGGATTATTTAACCCTACCTTAATATCTAAGGGATACTTAATAGCCTCTACTATTAATAATTCCTCTATTATAGTATCCTCCTTATACCCCTAACTTAGCCTAAGGTTAGGGGTAGCTAGTTTCCTAAATTAGGGCCACTTACTAATACTATAACTATCTTAACACCTACTAGTTATAGTAATAGGGTATTAGGATATATATGTATAAAATAACTACCCTATCTATACTAGGTATAGACCTTTGCTAGTTTCTATATATTAAATAGGTCCTATAGGATCTAGTTAGGACGTAATATTAGTAGTTTAGTAGGTGCACTTAATAAGGCTACTACTTCTACTATATTTATATTGCTATCCTAATCTAAGTTAGACTTCTACTAGGGTTCCTTAGACTTACTAGCCTAAAGAAAACCTAGTTCTAGAGAGGCTATTTTAATATCTACTGTAATTGTCTTGTACGTTCCTCTATAGCTATGTTATAGTTTATCCTAGAGACTCCCCTATTAAGGGAAACTAAGCGCATGCAACTATTAAGAGATTGCTAAAGTTATAAAAGCTTCTATTTATTATCCTAGTATAAACTACCTAACTATATAAGAAGCTATATAAAATTTATAAAGAACTCTATAAAAGGTTAATTTTAGCCCTAATATAAGTATTCTAATATAACTTAGGCGTACTTCTACCTATAATAGTTACTATAATAGAACGCTAGGTAGTTAAGAAACCTGCTTATATCCTAATACTTATATATACTATCCTTAAAGTATTATACTATAGCGCGCTAGACTATAGGTAATAACTAGGACTAAATATATATAAACCTTACCTCCTTATCCCTAATAAAGACCTTATCTACACGTAGTTTAAATTCTATAGTTATTTACTAGGAGGAAAAGTTTGCCTTAGTGCTATTATATAGTAAGCTAACTAGGAAGGGTTTGCATTATAAGGTAGAAGGGGGTAGAGGTAGCAGATTATTAAACCTAGCAGGCTTAGAGGAGGGTTAGGATAGAATCTAATTGCGTATTTCCTTGTTCTATTAACGTAGTATAGCTATTATAGTAGAGTCTTAAGCCTATTATTCTATTAATCTATAGACCTGCTATATTAGCCTTTCTACTATATTAGGTTGCACCTAATTATTCTAAATATCTAGCGCGTCTATCTCTTATTACTATTATAGTATATTTAGAAGAAGATACTAAAATATTATAGACTAGCCTTAAGAGAGAATATAATAAGTGTTAATAATAGTATTTAGTATCTTAAAGGAGAGGTAAGCCCTCTACGCCTTTTTATAGGTGTGTAGCGTGTTTGCTTAGTAGTAGTGTTAGACTCTGTCTATCCTATGTTAGGCCTAGGCTTGGGTATAAGCCTAAGCCTTTTACACTTATTTAGATTAGGTAAGTAGAAGGAGATAGAGATTAAGCTTATAAGCTCCTTTTTGCAATTGTAAGGTAAATTTTGCTTTAGGTGTCTATTTCTTACCCTTAGTGCCCGTCTAAAAAGATTCTCACTTCTTCTAGCACTCTCTCTACCTAATCACTATATAGTTATATTACTAATTCCTCTACGTCTTCAAAGATTGGCACATTTATGTCCCACTCCTCACCTACACCTGCGACCCTTCCTAAAACACAATTCACCTTCCTCCTCGTCTTCTCCGTCATGTCGGCTACATGCGTGAGCGCAATATGATTCATGAGCGTTTCAGCGCCGCCATACACACCCGTGACATTGCCTTCGGCTGAGCAAATCACACAGCCATAGTTGCAGTCACTAGTACCAGTCTTACTATTTGAGATGGTATCCACTGCAGCAGGCGGTTTCTTCTTCACATGGCTCTTCGCGAGGAAGATCCAGCGATACCGGATTCCCGCCATGGAGAGGTGTATCCTCGGATCGACGATTTCAATGCTCTTGTTCTTCTTAACTGGGTGCGGGACAGAGAATATATCGCCTTGGAAATTACAGGCAGTGCATTGCCACATTTGCTTGCTATTGTAGTAGCCCGAGGGTAGCGTCCGGATGGAGAGGCCTTTAGAGACATTTTCGCGGATCGCCCAGGCGCCTTTGCAGAAGCCCCAATAATTGTTATCTTTACATGGTCTTCCGTTCATCATGTGTTCTTTGCCGGTAGGGGGGCTTTGGATGGTATCGGTACGGATGGAGGAGCGGATCCGTGCACCGGGAAGTATGCCTATTGATCCTGAGCGGCTGCTATTGGTGGAGGCAATAGAAAGGGCTGTACTGAGGTGTCGTATGTCGTCTATCACGGCTCTTCCGGAGAGGGCTGATGTAGCTGCTTCCACTGCTTCGAAGCCGGATAGTGTTATAGACTGGCCACGGCGGCCGCTATGGACATCAGAGCCCTCATGTGTTGCTTGTGGTATTTCGTACTGCGATCTGACGGTCTGCTCGTTTGAACCTTGTTCGTGGATGATGTTTCTGTATTGCGGCGATGGACCGTCATGTGAAAACGGAGATACATCTCTTTGACTACCGGGCCATGGCTTATGAACAGGTAGCATTGCGTCACCTTGGGATATGCTTACTGGGTCGCTTGGGGAATCGTTACTAGGCGGGGTCTGAAATACTGCAGTGGGTTGATCTGAAGCGTGCCACGGCAACACTGGTACAATAGGTGGAGTGAGGTCCTCTGATGGCGCGTAGAGTGGGGATGACGAATATGGGTCGTGAAGACCCTCAGTGGTTTGTTCGAATGGCTCACTTGGCGATAAAGAAGACGGTGGGAAGCAAACTTGATCAGCAGGAGGAGATGCTTTGAATGTAATAGAGACAGGATGCATACTTGAGCCTTGTGATGAGCCCGAGTTGTGACGAAGTACTGGATCTGAGTTGGCAGAGCTGGCGGCTGAAGAAGCTGACCCTCGAGACTGCTGCAGGTGGGATTGTTGCGATGTTGTCGGGACTCGTCCTGCATGTTGTGGGTTGTTATAGTGCTGGTCGAAGATTTGTTGCCCATATCGTGCATCAAAAATGTTCTGGGCGTATGGAAACGCTTGCCTGTTTCCTATCTGGTAGTCACCAAACGATTGCAAGGCCTTTGTTCCTGAAACATTTCCTTGATTCAAGTCTGGTCGGCACAAGTCGCTATCATGGAGAATCATGAGCGTATCCCGCCTCTCAAGGTATTCATTGTTGTACTGGTTGCGACTCCAAGAGGCACTCGGGTCGCTGTTCATGTCGAGACCTTTATAGGAGCCGATAATGTGATCAATGTCCCTCATAATGTCCGTGCGATCCTCTGAACCTCTTGATCTGACCAGTTCTTCCAGAGCAGCACTGAAGTTGATATTAGCCGCGTGTGCAGATGACTGGGGTTGGGCAGGCGCTAATGTATGTGTATCTCTGTTGCGGTTTCCATGAAGGTATTCGCTCAAGCCATGCTTTTGTTGCCTCGAATCGCTTCGCGATGGCATGGTGATAGCTCTTGGGATATACTCGTCAGGAATTGCAGTTGTTGGTATAAGGTTGTTAGGTTGTATTGTCTGTAAAGAAAGGTTACAGTTCGTGATTCCGTCGTATGACCCTCCGATCTGCCTCGCCAAGGGTCTTGTGATCAATATGCGTTGCTTCAACTCGTCCAACGTTACAAAGGTTTCCTTGCGGTTCGCAATCGAAGTCTGGTGAAGGATTCGCAAGTTCAGTATTGCGTTGTCGTGACTAGCAAGAGTGTTAGGATGTAAAGCTTCCGTCATAGTCAGTTAGCTCACGTACGTCGCCGCTAGCTGTAGGCTTTTAATAATTTCAGCTTGCATAATCAAGGCGATGTAAACCAGGCGATCTCGTGCGACGACTGTGTGCCGAGCATGTTAGTGGTGAGGAGTGGAGTATTGAGGACGTTGCAGGACTTGCCGTCGCCAATGCGCATGTGGTCTCCCAGCTCTCTCTGGTCCTGCGCATACCGCAGGCCAATTTTTTGTTCCGCTGTGACGAGCGAATTTTCAAGCTGACTTTCCTCAAACTCTTGCCGCTCCTGGTCGCGTACTTTCCTTGCACGGCGTTTCTTCTTAACCAAACTGAGCAACTCGGCACCGCCATGAAAGGCAGATATAACTGCAGCGACAGCGGCGACGACCTACATATTGCACCCGTCAAAACCGTCAGCAAAGTCACGACTCGAGATGCGTCAGGTGGCCTCGCACGTCTTCATGGATCGTGCGCCAGTGGTAATGTTATCGGACCTGATGTGGGGAGGGATATGGCATACCTCTACACCAGACATTCTGCAGCCAGCTTATCTTGAGTGTCGATCAGAACACTCTACAAGGCCGAATCACCGATTGCGCTGGGATGTAAGCCACTGTTAAGCGGCCCAGGGTGATCGACCTTTTCAAGAGGAAGGGGACTACCCTACGGCGTATAGTACCGAGCGGAGAGGAAGCTCACCTCGGTTTTTGTCGTGAATTTTTCTAGACAGGTTGATATTTTCCGGTAGATTTGTTGAACAGAGTACCTATGTTGCGAAGTGCCCTTGATTCTTAGGCAACGCAGTTGATGTAATGAGCGGGGCAGTGCCTGTCAGACGATACGTTGGCCTGCTGGACCATGGGTATGAATAGCGGTACAGGCAGCCGCAGAGAAGTCTTACAAAAATGCTGTTGGCGGTAACCGTACGGCCAGGTCGAAGAAACAAGGTCGCTCGCTGGACGACGGAAGAGAAGTCCATGTAAGTAGTTTGTGCTCAGCCTCACTCCCTTATTCCTAGTCAGATCGTGTGCAACCGCACTGTACACTGGACTAAGCCTCGACATAGCACTCAGCAGGCCACAGTCTTGCTTGACCGAGGTGCATGGCTACAGATTCTTGGACTGCATCTTCGCCAATGATAAGAAGCTGTGGCGGTGAGCTAGATTGGGCTATGTGCACTGCATAGGTGGAGGAAGCCGGCCACCCCGCCCCCGAATATGAGACGGCAATGATGTGGCCAGTCATCCTTGAGTAGGGCATGTGCGCAATCACGACTACATCTGAATTCGCGATGGAGATTCAGTCCCGAAGCGTTGATGTTCTCTTGATCAAGACGGATCGTTGTCTCTGGACGGGCTCAGATATCTAACCTGGTCCCCTGGGCTAGGTAGAGTTGGACTCGTAGAGAGAACCCTACCGTACCGAGCCCACAGTCCCCGGTTACGAAATGGTCTTGGAGTAGGTAGGAGTTGAGAAAATGAGAGAAGACTGCCGCAGATTGGAATTCCTTCGGTACCAAATGCAGGCGGCAAGCATGCCGCGTGAGCATGCAGCAAGAGGTGGGGGTTAGCTACAAGGGTTAGCGGGATTCCGTTCAGTTCACATGTAGCCACAATGTCTAAACAAGCAACACTAACTAGATACACGCGTTAGGCCGCAGAGTTTGTCGTTTGTTTGTTTGTTCGTTCGTTCGTCGGTTCGTGGGGTATCCCTACTTGCGCCACCTCGCTTCAGCAATAGGCAGCATCATCATTGGTGATTTCCACCCGCAGGAGTCTTTGACCTTCTCTGGTCTCTGCAACACGATACAATCTTACAAAGAAATGTGATGACACATGGGCAGACAGGGAAGGAGTACCTACAGCGCCATCTTGGTTCATCCGTGCATACCAATTCAAGGCTGACTGACTCTCGTTGCCAATCCTCCTACACTCCGACCTCGAATGTCAAAATGGATCCAGACGGCTAACGCGCCAGCACCGAGCTGTATCTCTCTTCACTCTGTCTATGGAATCTTCCCGCTTTCTCCAACACAACACCACACAACATACAATCCCGGTCTACGGCATGTATCCAATCCAGGGACATGGAAGAAAAAAGTCTAGTCATCCAATCAAACAAAGACACCTCGCTGAACTAACAAACTTTGAAATCCTTAAGGCATAAATGCCAACTGAGCCCTGTGACCCAACTCGTTTCACCCTGAGGGGAAACGTTCATGAAATTGAACTCGAAACTTGGAAGCTTCTAAACCGGATTTTGGAACCATGAACTCAATTGCGAAGATGATCGCTTCGTGAAAGTATCCTGGACAAAGGGAAGTTTCTAGGAAAAAAAAGGAACCCAGCAGAAAGGTTGATCTTCGTCAAGAATAATTTCAACCAAGGCCCAAGCCAGGTCCATGCGTCATGAAGCAGATATGTAGAGTACTCAGCTCCATCAAATCTATGTCGCCATCTCCAATTGCACCCTCTGACTCTTACGATTCCGCACCTCCACCATCGTAGGCGTAAGCGCCTGTCTTTCCACTAATCGCTCTCCTTGCGCGCTTTTCAAATCTGTCTGGCTACGAGCTAGCATTGTACGTGGACTATTCGCCTTCGATACCGATACGCTACGGGCAATTCCAACTGTGGCCACCGATCTTACTTCCACATCCTGTCTCTGCGAGGGGGCCTCGTTCACTGTCCGTTTGGCACTGATGCGGTCTGCAGATAATGGAGGGGTCGTCAGACTTTGCAGGCGGTGGAGTGGGGAGGGCACGTCTAGGGGAGCAGAGGAAGGGTGGGAGGACAGAGCGCTTAGTTTTGTAAGCTTTGGTTGTCGTTGAGATTCTGCGCGAGAAAGGGTGCTGGGTGTCGCGGTGTCAGTTGTTATAGCTTTAGGCTTTGAGCAAATTTCCCATTGCGGTTCGCGGAAATCAGTGTACATGACGGGATTTGTCTGGCCAACCACGATGGTAATCGACTCATTGTCAGACTCGAAGCTGTGGACGGAGGTGGGTGTCAAAACCGAATTAAGATAAGGTGATCCCGAGCTGGGTTTTAGGAGACCTGTAGTGGAATCGGAGATTTTCACGTCCTTCTCCCCAGTTTTGGCAAATGTCTGGCGTAGAGGTGACTTTGCTGGTGCTGTCCTCGATCGATGTAGAACTTTTCCGGAGTTGGTTGCTCCTGATAATGGGGATGGGGCTCGGTTCGGCGTTGTTGATGGGAAAAGCATTAACCGTGGTGAACCTGACGGGGCTGGGGATGTGGCTCGTCGTGGAAGCTTGAAGTCAGAGAAGATTTCCTGTGGCTCGTCCTGTCATGTCTGTCAGTAAACACATACAGAAGCGAGCGTATGTCACGTACTTGAACCGAGAGCTTGTCCAGCGGCTTCAACTTCTCGGCATTCGCTTGCCGTCGTTGTAACAAGGATGATGATCGCGGTGGGCTAGACTGCAGAACATTTCCGAACATGATACTATACCTCTCCATTGTCACATCAGGGATGCTGACGTCAAGAAGAGATCTCTCGTCAGAACCGGCATCCGACTCTGGCGCTCCAAACTTGCTTTTGCTGCCAGAGATCTTCAACTTCGGCACGGTGGGTGCATCAATCGCAACATCTCGAGACGGTGGTATTGGTGATGTGAACGCCCTTTGCATTTTCTTTGTAGTCTGCGAGTTGGAGGTTGGGTTTCCCAGGGTGAGTGTTCGCTCCCGCGTCAAGGGATTTTCAGGAGGCGATCTCGGGGCAATAAAACCTTCCGGAGCGCCTCGTCGAGATGCCCTGATTCCTGGGTTATAAGTTGGAGGTGGCACTTTGCGTAACATCCCCATCTCCTTCTGGGCCCTGATTTGTGCATCCGATAGCTCCTCGTCGTGATGGCTATCAGCACGTGGAATCGCCGCTACAGCAGTCTGAGTCAATTGATAGAATGCCGGTTTTTCGGAGGTCGGTGGCGGTGGCCCGGCTTTCCTGAAAAGCGATTTCCATCTGCTGAGCTTCGATTTTGGTGGTACTTGCTGGTTGCCAACAGATGTCACAGAGCCATTTGGTTGCTGGAAATGTGTCATCTCGGTATCAGTGACCTGGAGGCTTGGATCAGAATCTGTAGCCTGAGATGTCGAGGTCCAATCCGAGCCGACAGTAGGAGATCCTAATGCAATGCCAATGACACCCTGCTCTTCTGTAATGTCTCCACCGGCTGAGAGTGTAGTTGTTGAGTTTGGAAACGACGGGAATGACGAGAAGGTAGGCGTCTGGTTCTGATAATCCATTGACAGGGCAGCGTTTGTTTTCTTGTGGAACATCGTAGTCTGGTTCTCGGATCCACCTGACGTACTCGGCCGGACTGCCATATCTGGGGTCTCTAATCTTGATTCCGCTCCAGAGCTGGGCGTGGCCGACCGCAATTTGTCAGAGTCCGTTTGAGGCGCCTTCAGAGGCTGCATTGAACGTCCATTCTGCTGTATGGCGGCGTCCTTGCGACCACTCTTCAGAAACCTCAGTGATTTCGATCTTGTGAGCATCCCAGGCATTGTGGGTTTCAAGTGGGCTAGTGGGTATCAAGTAAGAAATGCTGGTAAAAGAGTGACATAAAAATGAGGGATTCAAACTGAAGGAAAGGACAGCCCAGATGAGCAAAAGATCAATATGCAGTCTCAGACTTGCAAGTAGGTATTTGGAAGAACACAGAAGAGCCTCAGGCAGGCGAGATATCACGATATGACGGCACCAACAGGACTATGACTGTGCTCAGCAAACAGTCGGCACATCCCCACACTTGTTAGTTCCATGCCAGCGGCAATCATTCCATCTGGACCTGGGCGTCAGGGACAAATTACTCGAACTGCAGTAAGGAAGCCGTCCCGAGACAGGGACAAGGGAAGTCAGCATAACGCGGCAGCACCTAGGTCGATTGGTCAGATGCTCGAATTGCGACAGTGAGAACCATGCGAGGTACAAGGAAATGCGGTGAATAGCATAGTGTTAGGGCAGTGGGAACGGGCGGCTGTTTCTGAAGGGTAGGTGATGTAGGCAATGGGTGCAGGCCCTCGTTTCAGGATGATGCCTGATGCCGTGCCCGGCGTGCGTGCCGTGGGCAATTTCGCCATCCGCCGCCAAGCGCCTCTTCCAACGATGATAGTGGCCCGTCCCTCAAATTGGCACGAGACGCACGGCGGTAACGGAGTACACAGGTAAGCAGTTCACACACGTTCGTGTAGCTCAACGTCGCAGCAATAAGCACAACACCCGTAGTGCCCCAACTTCTGGCTACATGCTGCAAGATGCCAGCTTCAGTCGCCTGTCGCTGCAACGCAAGTCGCCCTGTACCGGTGCCGGTAGGTAATGGCTCATTCTAGTGCGCTATATATCCCCGAGTCTGACACGCAGGCCCCGGAGATGAACGGCCAACAGAGGCAGGTTGTTTCGGAACTGCCCAAGATTGCGACCGGGTAAAATCCATACTTGTGCAGAGTAGGTGGATTAGATACCTACTAGTACACAGTATGTATGTACACACACTACATACGGTACATACGACAGCATGTACTGTGTAAGCGCAAGGATTGGAACAAGCACAGCGGAAATTTATGGTACCACAACAGGAAGGAAGACGTGGTCATCATCAGCACCAGCACCAGTACCAGCACGCAGAAGAGCGCCTAAGTAAATGAACACATCCATGGACAGTACTGTAGTACTGCAATCATGATCTTCTTTCGGGGTCCCTTCAGTAAAACGTACTGTGTATTTAGTGGGTATATGGCAGCACAGCTACTTGGCCAACTCGACAGTCTTAGGGGAAATGGCGCATGTGTTGGACGTGCACGTGGTACCGGCATGTACACGATCAACGACTACATTAATCATGTCTATTAAGGGATGAAGATTCGAGATTCTGCACCAGAGATACACGTGCATAAACTTTCTGGTGACCAACAGAACTTGTAAAATGTCGATATGTGACATCGCAAGTATAAGCGATGGTTCGATTCAAGGTCGAGAACATTGTTGAGAAGTCTCGGATCTAACCGAGCCTCAAGGTCAGCATAATGTGGTTTATGCGGTATTTGCACGTGAAACTTGGGACCAAACTGCGGTTTTAAGGAAGCATAACACAACATAGACGTTGAGCAACAAACGACCGTTGTTGGTCCAGTTGTTCAATACTACGGCTGTTCCAGGATGAAGCCACTGGCATTGCGTCTTCTTTTGCAGCCTCACACAGACCCCGGCGTGTGCCCTACAGAACTCAATCCAGAAAGACTCCCTCAATCTTGCGACAGTGACTTTCCCGGTCTCCAGTTCTCATACCGCTCCGCCTCTTCTTTTACTGTATGCGGTACATGCTGCTCCAGGGCCCGCTCAAAGTGATGCATATGGATTTGCGGCTCCCTTGATGGATCCTTTTCATAATCAGACATGGCCATTTCGATGGCGACTGAGCAAAGTCCGCTGATGTCGGCGCCACTACTGCCCCTGGTTCTTGCGGCAATAACCTCGAGATTCACATCAGATGCAAGGGGCCGTTTCCTGGTGTGAATCTGGAGGATTTGCCGACGTGCTTCTTCGGTCGGGAGGCCAATGTGGATATGCGCATCGAAGCGGCCAGTGCGTATGAGTGCTGAGTCTAGAATATCAGGCCGGTTTGTTGCACCGATTATGAAGACATCTTTGAGTGCTTCGATGCCGTCCATTTCGTTGAGGAGTGTGGTGACGACGTTTAAACCACTGTCTTGAGTCTTCTCGCGCGATTTGCCGATTGAATCGATCTCATCGAAAAATATGATGCATGGTTTTGCAGCACGAGCTCGACGAAAGACATCGCGAATCGCTCGCTCAGATTCTCCTACGTACATTTTGATGAGCTCTGAACCCTTTACTGCGAGGAAATTCTGATTGGTCTCTGTTGCAACCGCCTGGGCGATCAAAGTCTTAGCACACCCTGGAGGGCCATACATCAATACGCCCTTACGCAACGAAGGCCCACCAAACTTGGTGTCCAGGTCGGGATGCTAGCCAGGTTAGCTTGATTCAAGCTAGGATGATGGTTAGGAAGTTTCCACATACTTTGAATGGACGGACGGTAATGGCTTCGAGTAAAGCACGGACGTGGTCCAAGCCAGCAATGTCTGACCACTTCACTTTTGGCACCTCGAGAATGCTATCCTTCATTACAGTCGGCTGCACTTGATCAATCACAGTATCAAAGTCCTCCTGTGTAACGAAATCCGACTGATCCAACACCTCGCCAATCGTGTCTTTCTGGTCCTCCTCTAGTGAAGAACAGATCTGATCCAGACGCCGATTTCTAGCAAGACTACAAAACTTATGGATGTCCCGCCCTACAAAACCATGTGAGCGTTCTGCTAAACTCTGGAAATTGACATTTGCATCTTCGCAATCTGGTCCCAATATTTGGCGAAATATATCTTCTCTTTGTTTCACGTTGGGTGCGAATAATTCGAGTTCCGTTTTGAAGGCAGAGGTTGTGCGAACACGGGCATCAATATCATATATGCTGCGAGCAGCTGCAGCAACCACCACCTGTGTACCCTCCAGCTTGGCTAATTCGATTTGAAGCCGCGTTACTAGAGTCTCTGCTTTCTCCAAGAACTTGTCCAGATTGTCCATAAGAATGAGACTTGGTTGGTCATCAAGGGCAGCCTGAAAGGTCTCTGAGATCGCTCTCGCCTGGTTCTTGTGATGCGTTTCAGCATTGATGCGATACACCTCTTGCCACGGCGCCTCTGCAATCCTTTCCAGCAGAAGGCTCTTTCCGTTTCCTTCAGGGCCATGCAGCAAAAAGGTAGTTGGTCCGAGGAGACGCTTCTCGGTCATAGTGGATTGAACATGGGTCAGAGAGAATAAACTCTTGTTGATGACGGTGATTTGAGGAGACAGGCCTCCGATCCCATCCTGACTTATGTGCAAGACTCTTTTCGGATCCTGCACATTTCGACGGGGGCCGATGGCTGCTGAAGCTAATATCTGCGTGAGAACTGGATCAAAGTACATTGGGTGCTTCTCTGTTGGGGCAGGATCGATGCGGTGCACGATCATGCGTAGTTTGCCCTTCTGCGGACGGCTCAAGCCTCTTGGGTTCACAGGGAAACTGCAGCCCGGGAGAACGATATCGAGGTCCACTGCTTGGTCGTTAGGTGGCGTCGATGAGCGAAAACGTCTGCTGGCTGTGCCCTACCTAGGGCGTACCGGACCCAGAAGATGAGTTCTTCAGCTGAAGAGAAGCTCGCTCGTTGATCAGACGGTTGCGAGAAGCCGACCTCTATTGATCTGAGGGGCTTCAAAGAGTCGACCACCTTGTCGATGAGCACACGATCGGTCAGTTCGAGATGATAGTGGGCGCGTAGAAAGTCAGACACTTTGGCTATGGGCTTGCCCCCGGCATTGGTCTGAGTGGCCAGCCATGCCACGGCATAGCCTTTGAAACAGTCGGCCGTTCTCAACCGTACAAGGTCGCCACTGCTCAGGCCTAAGTTTTTCAAGTCTTTTTGCGAAAGGTGGACTCGGAACGCACCCTCCAGGGCATCGCTAGGTGTGCTTGGCGGAGGGCGCTCAAGCGGACGGAGCGCATATGCTGTTTCCGCCGCCGCCGCCGCGTTCATCACTTGTGAATGATTTCCGACAAGTGGATTGAGTTGATATTTGGTGGGTTGTTTGTGTGGCTACCGGTGCAGGTGAGGGGAAGGGGATTTTTGGTTGCTGGTGGTGGTGGTGGTTTGGTGAGTCAGCGGCCGAAAGCCTAGCAGTTGACGAGTGAACACATTGAACAGGACCCTACAATAAGCTAATCCGAAAGCGTGCTCTTAGCTTGTGGTTGATTCAAATGTTGCCCGCATGTGTTTGAACTTTGGCCAGCGTGCGACCACAGGTTCTCTTTTTCCAACCACCGAGGTTACCGAGTTGCAACAGCGACAGCTTGCGATGGTAGGTACGGAGCGCAGCAATTGATGCCACCGCCGCGCCTTCTTCAACATCTGCGGCCATGTCATCCCCTGGCGAGCGCCCACCAGATCCGCTGTGCTTCCTGGACACGCCGCCTACGACAGCCCACAGGCAGGGAGGGGAGAGAGGGCCAGCAAGTTTCGCCCTTGCCACCCAATGCCACGGGCACCGACAAGAGCAAGGCTGCTGAGGACGGTACGCTAGATGAACCCCTTGGAAACGACAGTGTGTGTGTGTGTTTGTGAATGTGTAGTATGGTCAGCTGACACTGCTTCTCTGGACATAGTGACGTCGACCCCAGTTCCGCCACAGCAGGATGCGCATACAGACGGCAACGAGCGCGCCGTGCCTACGCCTCCTTCAGCAGAGAAGGGCAGCTGGTGGAGTGCTACGCTGAGGTATCTGGCTCCATCAAGAGCTACGACATTTCCAGGGACACCTGGCGACCATTCACCGACGCCTGACGACCATTCACCGACGCCTGACGACCATTCACCGACGCCTGACGACCATTCACAGACTCGCAATGACCAAATAGCTCGAGATGGGTACGAAGGCAAACAATCTAAAGGTACCTCGATGCCTTCGTCAACCAGCCGCCCTAGCCTGGAGTCCCAACTTAGCTCGACACAATTGCAACTCCTAGAGCTGCAAGCGCAGGTCAAAAAATTGCAGGCCACACTGCGAAAGGCATCGGACACGCCTTTTACAGAAGATTGTAAATCCCCTATGATTGCATCGGCATCTCGGGAGAGCCCGGTGGTCGAGAAGCACACCCAGCCTGTGCCCACTCCCCAGTTATCCCGTCTCAAAGCCGCATGGACAGCCTATCACTCTCACGGGCACAATGTGGTGAAAAAATCACATGAAATCCGTATACTATCTTCCCCTGTGAGGAAGCCGTCCTGGGGAAAAGAGCACGCCCTTTCTCCGCCCCTTGCTCTAGCGATGTTGTGGCGAAGATACCAGAGTGTTGACAGGGAGATTTGGAAAACAGCTCCGGATATATTGTTCGCTCGATCGACCGGCCACGAACCCTCTATTGTTCGTCCTCGTAAGGGTGTCGAGCAGGGCACCTCTCAGGTCGCGAAGCGAGAGCATGCCAGTGATAAAGAGAAAAGCAAGCAGATGATCGACACTGTTGCACCAACGAGAGCACCCAGTCGAGCCGAACGGTCCGGTATTGATCACGACGCAACTATATCCAGTCCACTAAACAACGAGATGAAAGAACACTCGTTGTTCGAGGAGCTTTTTCCCGAGGCCACTAGCCCTCCGCCATCTACCACAGTCGTTGAGAAGAAACAGGATCCGTACCCGAAGCTTGAACTTCCGGATGCTCATCAACGTATACCCCTCAACGTTCCAAGAAGGCAGCTTTCGGGTGAACGAAGGAACGGAAGTTCAAAGCAGAGGGCAAGATTTGTAGAATCCTTCCTGCAAAATAAGAAGGTGGAGAACATCACTGTCCTTCAACTTGCATATTGTAGTACGGAGCTTACGGAATCTGATTTTCTGCGCCTGATCCCGAAGGGTAAACACATCGAAGGCTGGCGGCGGGAAGGAGAGTTCTTCAAGGTCATACCCGGTCGTGACCCCTTGAGCTTGGAGCGCATGCCTTTCTACTACCTGCTCTTCAACAATCCCGAGGCTTCCCTTGCATACCAGAATAACGTCGCACGATTGCATAAACTCAGCGCACTCCATCAGCCTAGCAGCATTCTCTCTGCCATTCCAGCACCAAAAGGCTTCCTCGAAGATGGTGAGGACATCAGCAAGGCTACATCATCCTACAACTTGGCGCCTTCACAACATCAGCTCCACCTCTCTACAATCATGCAGCCCTATAATCCAGCACTCCGTGCACTCATCGAAAGAGGTGGATACCACCCTATCGTCCCAAATGTTGATGAATATGGCCAACACATTTGGAAGGTACTCATGCACATTGAGGGTTATGAGCCTACGCCGTTAGACCTCTTTAGGAGCTTCACAGATGATGCCTGGAGACACGGCATGCAACTCCCTCTCCGCACTGAGTCAGTGGGCTCAATACACCGGGTGCGCGACATCATCAATTTGAAGACTACCAACAAACCCATCTCATCTGTCCAGCCTCGTGCATATGGCACCACCGATCATACAAAGTTTGCTGAGCGGACCATGTTTGAGGATCCGGCAATCCAGTTCGGGCTGGCGGGCATTGAAGAGCAAAATGGGACCAAAGAGCTGAATCAGTATGTTATGAATAGAGTGTACAATCGCTGGGTGATTGACTTCAATGATGAGAATGCCGCTAGGCGGTTTGCAATTAATTGGCATAGGAAGGTGTTGCCTCCTGTGTCGAGCTCAAAGGGTGCGTGGGAGGAAACAGAGGAGCTGAGGATGTGTAATACAGAGGTCTTATGGTAGCTGATATTGTGTATGATATTGTTGTATATAATACGTGCATCTTGACCTGTCACCAAGATCTTGTAACAATATTCAAAGTTTTGGCTTCCTTCTTTGCAGTGGCTGCCTATGAGGTCGGGTATCATTTCGTCTCGTCTCGTCTCGTCTCGTCTCTTCACTATCCACGTCAAGTTCTTCTGAGAACACTACACTTACACTCCAACAGCACCACCACCCACCATAAACGCAGGGCTCCAATACTCGCTCTCCTCGGCCTGCCGATCAACCCATACCAGACTGTCCGCCATCAAATCCTCCACCACAGCCCTCGCCCGCGCACTTTCCCACCCCAAATTAATCTGCAACATACTCACCGTCACATAGCCGAGGACTTGTATCGCCTCCAAAACGGTACTCTGATCCGTGTTCAACTCCTTAGGGACACTGCGAATCAGCGTCCTGTGACCAATCTTGACAATGCTAAAGCACGAGCCCAGCGGCGCAAGCGCATCCACGGCGCGCGAAATGTCGTCATCGCTGACAGACATGCTGCCACCAATTCTGGTCGATTTTGAGATGCGAGATTTCAGGTCGGAGAGGGAAATCAGGCCGCCATTTTCAGAGCGTGTAGCTCGGCATTCTTCCACAATTAGCACCCCCAGGTTGAAATAGAAGTCGTTTACGCTGCTGCCGAGGAGTTGGGCCCATATGCTCTCTCCTTTGCTCATCGCTCCGCTTTCCCCGCCGTTCCCGCTTACTCCCTCCGTTTTCGATCCCTCACGGTGGTAACTCGATGCCAGGAAGTCAATGTTGAGTGCTGAGCACATGCGTGCGAATTCTGCCCTGAAAGCTGGATTGGCGCGGATGTCCTTGGAGTGTGTGAGGGCGAAGTTATGAAGCAGGGATTGAAAGACAGAGAGTTGGGTTTCGAGAGAGGCAGCGTTGCGGGTGCGGAGGGTGGCGCCGTGAGTGGTGTAGTGGTGGGATTGGAGGCGCGAGGAGGAGAGAGAGGAGAGGCCGGGGGTACGGCGGCGGTCCATTCTGAAGGCTGTGGGGGTTGGCTATGGATGGTAGAGGGTTGCGCGGCTGGATTGAGGAGCGTATCTCAGGGGGCGGGCTCTCGAGTATGCACGATGAATAACCTCGTTTAATGAGGGCGTAGGAAGTTTGGCCAGTATCCCAACTATGTCAAATGTCTCGACGGCGATGAAGTGAAAGCAGCAACACCACGGTGGGATAGCGGTAGAGGGGACGGTCGCTGTGCAAGGGGTGCACGTTCTTGGGCAAATTGTACTTTAGAACAACGCAATGTACAACAAAACCAGACCCGACATCAAGCAACGCGGAAAAGCACTTTGATATTGCACGCCTAGGTACCGGTAGATGGTAGTACTGTGAGGATATCATGTGGGCACGGATTATCACGTGAACCCGTCGGCGGGATGCTCAAGCTCTCGGCAGCTAACCCGATGACGTCTGGTGTTCACCGGCACCACATCGGTGCGTCTTACTAAGAGCATCCCCAGCACGCGCCGCACTTCGACTAATCGCCATCTCATCTTGTCTGTGCCCATGGCACTCTTGTCTCAAGGGGCGACTGCATCCGGTCGTGGCCGTGCTCTTCCTCAGTTTTCCTCTCTTCATATTCACTTTCCTCCACCTAATTTGAACAAGGATCGCGTTCGATTGTGGAGCCAGCTGCTGGCCAGGTTATCAAAGCTCATAGTCTAATTTTCACAGCACCGGCCGCCTGACCGCTATTGTTTAATGATACCCGAATTCTCACCTCGACCGGGAGTCGACCTGTGTGACCAGAATCTATTCAAAATTCTACGGCAGTCTTGGTTCGAGGAATTGTTTCGCCCCAGAATGGACCCCTCGTCAATCAACAATTGTGTGCTATTGCTTGACCTACCGCCAAACGCACTCGCTGGGATCGACCTGTTGTCCTTTACTACATCACCGAGATTCCAAGGCATCAAGAATCTACCTCCAGGGCTACATTTCGTCTTTGCCGCAACTAGCGCTACCCTCTCCTCGAGAAATGGGGCCTGGTTTTACGTCACCCCCGGATCAGGATCACCTCAAGTCTTCGTCAAGAAGTGGGACCAGACCACAGAGGATCTGATAGCCGAAACAGCCCAGGCTGAAGTCTTGAGATGCAAAGCAAACCTTGGAAGTATATGGAAGGACGGATTGACGCCGTATCGTCAAACAGTACGCGAGGAAGACTCTGGAGCTGAAGACGAATGGTCAGAAGAGTCCACAGACTGGAGCTGTCTTACAAACAAGATCACGCCAACGCTTTTATCGCGAATATGCGGCCTGAATCCAGACCACTGGAATTTGACTTCTGCATCGTCTGCGTCACAGGATCTGGAAGAGATACCTGGTCTCGAAGCAAGTAGTATCTTGCATCCTGAAAAGGAACTTAGGTTTCTGCCCATCGATTTGAAGAGGACATGGAGAGAAGGTGCTACAGGACGAGAACGAACAGAAGCGGCACAAGACAGATCCTGGTTCCTCGGTGATCTCATCGATAACCACTGTCAGGCAGAAGACCAATGGGGCCGAGAGAGTGAAATTTTAGGGGAGCTTCAGTTCGCTTTCCTCATGGTCGTGACACTCAATAATAACTCTTGCTTAGAGCAATGGAAACGGTTGCTTCGACTCTTGCTTACCTGTCGGCAGGCAGTCAAAGAGCGCTCTGGTCTGTTCCTTGACTTACTAAAGGTCTTGCGGTTACAGCTTGCTCATTGTGCAGACATGGAGGGCGAATTGTTCGACATGAAAGAAGTCGGCGGAGGTTTCTTGAAACCACTGTTCAGTCGGTTTCGGTTGACCTTGGACGATTTCGAGGGCAATTGGAAATCGGATCTCGTAGACCAAATGGAGACCCTGCAGGAGTTTCTCCAAAAGGCATTCGGCTGGCACATAGATGGCTCCTATGTAAAGCGTGGAATACTCGAGCTCGAGGATGGCGAACAGGTTGAGATGGATATGAACGGCGCAGACGAAGAGGACGAGTTGGGCGAGTATGCCCCGGCGGTCGTGGAACTGACGCAAGAGCAGTTGAAGGTGTTAAATGGAAGCGGCATCGGTACCGCAAAGAGCAAGGCCGATAGTTCCCCCGAAGAGGAGTCGGAAGATGAGGCCGATTTGGAAGATATGGATACGAGATTCTGAGATGCTTCCGAACTGTGCATGATCTCTGAGTCATAATGGCAGCAAACAAGTCATCCTTATTGCATCGCGAATCCTGACCCAAAAACAAGGCAAGTCAACGCACAACGCTTTCTTCCATGTCAGTGGCAGGAGGCTATCTAGGAGTCACATGACGCAGCGTACATCTCACCCAGTAGTTCATAGCATTCGATGCAGTCAATCGGCAGAAGCCTGCTGCAATAGCAATCAAGATGACTTGGTGGACATGAAGCTTTTCAGATAGATGCCGAGCGTACTAGTTGGTGGCACATGGTCTCCAGAGGTAGCAAGAATACATAGGTAGCGCTTGCGGGAACAACAGCTTGTACAATACCCTGGTGTCATACAGATCGCTAGCTACGATCCCATGTAGTGTTCTCCTAAGCCTTGATCAGCACTGCGGCGGCTTTGTTGCACAGCCTCACTATGTCGAACAATGCCTTCACTTCCTCCTTTGGTATTCAAGGGTCGAGCTAATGGAGCCAGGCCCAAGACGATTCAAGAAAGTATCTCGAGTTTTCATCTCCAAAATCAGGACGCGGACTAAACCGTGGATGGAAATCGCAGCACTTGGCTCGCTACACCTTGTCGCGCTACTGGACCCCTCCATGACTTCTTCTAAACATCGCCTCGCCAAACTGGGCGCTTGAGGCTGGGGCGCGGCACGTCTGTGATCGTTGGCCCCCCATCTTTCTGGCTCGCAAACTGGCTGATTGGGTGGAAGACCACAGTTGCACGCCTTATGGGAGCATTTCGGCCAGTGAAATTGACCGGAATTGAAGGCTGTGCACTGTGAAAACTCAGTCTGAGCCCCCTTCGCCTAAGAATTATCCCCATGCGGTACGCCTGATGGGCTCGACATGTAGCCCAAGTTGAAGTCTTCATCTAATTGTACGCACCCAGTGGAATTCTACATAACTAGCCACAGCCAGGACTACCTCTATTCTCAAGGCTCTCTTCGCATCTTGAAACTGCAACAAAATCCACAGAACTCGTAGTACTGCTCTGCATTCTATCGGACGGTTAGACTGCTGAAGCTTGTGAAATCACAATGGAGAAGGCGAACGGTAAGTCACAAGCCCTCTTGTGTACAGAAAGTAGAATGCACAGGTTGGCCAAGCAGTTCACATATCTGCTGAGGAGCATGAAAAGCCAGTATACTATCTAACTTTTCTACTCCTCGATTGGTGAAACTACTCTCAGGAGACTTGATTAACGTCTCTGCAGTCCCTATGCAGCCATACCCTCAGACACCAGAGATGACTGGTCAACCACCCATCTATCATGACCCAAACGCACAATACCAGCAGCAGCCGGGTCAGTACGCCGGCTCGCCCCCTCCACAGCAGCCCCAGAGCACATACACGCAACCCCAGCAAGGCCAGCCTGGCATGCCACCGCAGCAGCCAAGCGGGACCGTCTACCAGACCGCCACACCCATCCCAAACCTACAGCGTGGGCCCGCACCAGTAGACTGCCCAGCATGCGGTCAGCGATCCTTGACAAACATTGCATATGAGACAGGAAATTCTACCCAGTAAGTGCAATCTCAAGGGAGTCAAGACTATTAGTCGCTAATGGACAACAGTGCCTGGGCTGTGGGTCTTTGTCTCTGCCTCTGCTTGGGTTGTATCCCCTATTTGATGAACTCTCTCAAGGATGTGACCCATAAATGCGGTCGTTGTGGTGTGCTGCTTGCAACATGGCACCGCAGCGGCTCTACTGAGGTGCACATTCACGCTTAGATGGTTCCTGTGTGTGTTATTGCGGCTAGTTGTATACAACTGTAGAGGCGTTATGGTGTTTTCGCGTAGGGCAGAAGTTGATGATACCCTGGAGAGAAGGCTTGACGTTGATGTGTGGCTCTTGGCTTGTGACACAGAGGCGCGATTGAGGCGTGTGGGACGTTGCAATGATTGGCCTTCTCGGCTGTTCATGCCGTAGATGGAGTGCCCAGTTAGGTAGAATGATGGCGTTTGACTTGCATATGACTTGGATAGGCAAAATAAGCTCTTGACTTCTTCATGCTGCGCTTCTTACTAGACATCTCTTCGCAAGGCGCGTGCGTCGGATCGTAAATGCATAACGAAGCTTGCGGCGACATTGTTGCCCTACCTACTGTCGATATGCTGTGGTCATTGGCAGGGCCAAGACCAAGACCAAGACCAATACTGTACCGACATGAAAGCAAAATCTATGCTTTCAGCGGACAAAAGGTTCAGGTCAACAAGCGAACCCATCGTGTTGTGAGATCAAGTCTGATCAGATATACCCACCACCCGCACATTGCTACACCTTCCCTCGGGCCATTGGTATGCGCGTTCCACGACCATGCCTATGTAGTAAGTAGCCCACTCGACCCGCTCACGCCTCCCATGCCATCGCGCCCAATCCCTCTCATCCTCACATCGTGCATGCCATCGGCAGGCAAAAGCCGCAATGCCATCATCAGCCACCGCTAGCGCCACCTACCGACCAAGCTTTGTGACAAGCTTTGCCAACTTTCAAGATTTCACCCCTTGCGCGTGCGCAACCTGTTGTGACATCTAAACTACATCACTGCAGCGTCAAGCGAGTGATAGGCGCTCGATGAAAGCCGAATCAGGGCAAAGGGTAGCGGCGAACAGCCAGTTTATCAAGACAGTTGACAATGTCTGGTGTGCTGAGGATTGCCTTGTGCGTTCATGGATATACAGCTACTGCTCCTACCCATATGTGGTAGGTATCGAACGTGGTAAAAGAACATGTCGTGTTTTTAATCTCACTTTTTCTTTCAAGTCGATCTGTCGATTTGCTCGCTTTTCTCCTTGTGGACCCCTCGTTGAAGGAGTACGTTGACCAAGCAGTACTCTGACCAACACGCTTACAAGATTGTGATGTTTGCTGTCCCTGTCCACATAACAACGAGTGCTTGACTGACAAACAAACAGACTACGTCATTTTCACACGACGCGCACAGCGTCTGTAGGTACATAGTTCGCCATCAGTCCTGAACTCACAGCATCGCAACACGGAACAACGACGATAACAACACAAGCTCATCGCCATGGGTCTCTTCAATAAGCGCAACACGACGCCTGTTGTAGCTGATACTACTACAGCCACTGGAACTCATTCCCATGAGAAGAAGCAGAGTCTTTCTGGAAAGCAAGGGCCCGGCCATGTTTCCACTGGTGCCTCTACCTACAACAGCAGGCCCTCGTTTGGACAATGGCTCAAGGCCACCGCCCTCGACATCATCACCATGGCCGCCATGGGTGCCGTCGGTCTTGGTGTCTACATGGCTGATCCAGCACCGAGCCGTAGTTTCCCTGTCATCTTTCAAGACGGCGAGATCGTCTATCCAGAGTTTGCATACCCTCTTCGCACCGAAATCATTCCCATCTGGGCTGCTGCTCTCATGGCCTTTTTCATCCCCTTTGCCGTTTTCCTGATCGTGCAGATTCGCGCCCGCAGCTTTTGGGATGTTAACAATGCTACCATCGGCCTTTTGTACGCGCTCATCGCTGCAGCCGTCTTCCAGGTCTTCATCAAATGGCTCATTGGTGGTCTCCGCCCCCACTTCCTGGCTGTCTGTAAGCCTGTCATTCCCTCCAGTATGCTCAACCTCGTTGGCGGCAACGACAACGGTGTCGAAGATGGTACTGCGTTCGGGGGCAATGTCGCCAACGGCTACAGGCAGATCATGTTTGACCGTAGCATCTGTACAGGTGACCGCAAGGAGATCAACGATTCACTCGAGTCAATGCCATCTGGTCACACTACTGCTGCGTTCGCTGGTTTCGTCTTCTTGTACCTCTACCTCAACGCCAAGTTGAAGGTCTTTGCCAACTACCATCCTGCCATGTGGAAGCTCATTGCCATTTATGCTCCTCTCCTTGGGGCGTGCTTGATCGGAGGTGCCCTCACCATTGACAATTACCACAAGTAAGTGTGCCCATCATGCCCTGTTACATGACATGCACTAACAGACTCGCCAGCTGGTACGACATCTTGGCCGGAGCCGTCATCGGAACCATCATGGCATTCTCCTCCTACCGCATGGTCTACGCCTCAGTCTGGGACTTTCGCATTAATCATATTCCTCTGCTCCGCCACGCACCTTTTGTCTATGGCTCAGGTCCCAGTTCCTTTGATAGCTTCCACGATGCTATCTTCACTCGCAAGGCGGGCTGGGGGGGCCAGGAGGATGGCTATGCAACGGGGTCTGCGGGTGTACATGCTTTTGATCAAGGTCATGGTCATGGCAATGGTCATGGCCATGGAGACCCTGCTGTCGGTAGTTCGGGAAGTCGTGTGCAGAGAAAGCCGATTGGTGCGGGGCGACCTACTGGAGGGAGACATGGCGAGCAGTATGGTGAGCAAATGGTTTAAGTCTTGTCTTCTTGTCCTGACTGCCGCGTACCTGGAATAAGAGTTACAAGCGACAGGATACATTGGTCAAGACAGCAGTTTTGGAATATGACATGGGGATTGTGACGCGTTTCTTGCTAGGTGCAATTTTTGCGTCTACAATCTGATGTCTATCTCTGTCTGCGGTATAGCTTCTCCATGCACGTCTTTGCTGTACGTTGTTGATGTACAGAAAACAGAAAACCCAAGTGGTGTGTTCAGGGTGACCAGAGCACTCAGAATCACGACGTCCATGCATGTTTGTTCCCATAGTGTGCGCCCGAAAATAGCCTGCCTAGGAAAATGCTCCATGGCTCAAATTTGCCAAGTCCAACCATGATGATAGCGCTAAACGTGAGACAAATGTATCCATCAAAACCTAAGTCATAGCATGAAGAAAATAAAGAAAGAAAAAAAAAGAAAAAACCCCCCGATTTCAAGGTTTCAAACAAGACATCAGCCAGCTACACCAAACTGTGTGTCTGCGCCAAAGGATGCTGGCCTAGGTCCACACTTCGATGCCATCTCCGACACGACAAGTCCTCACTTTCGCTATGCCTGGGCAGAGCAGGCTCATCAACGTGATCATCATCCAGGTCGAACATGCGCTTCAACTCCCTGCAGGCAACCATGTACTGCTGTCTCGCGCCGGGAGCTTCTCGCAGTGGATTCGGGGCCTTGTCCCAGGCGTGGGGCTGGCCATAGACACAGTGGTAGTGCACACGTTTGCGCAGGCTGTGGACGAGGCGGTCGCGGAAGCGCTCGCCTTCTGCGAAAAGCATATCCCATTCACAGCAGAAGAGGACAATGTCGTCTGGGAGTGCGGCGAGCATGTGGTCGGGCGCCACGCCTGGGCTCAGCCAGGGATGGGAAAGATCGAGCGAGGGCGGCTGCAAGTAGGAGTCGTCAAACAGGGAGGTGAAGACGGCGGGAAGCTGGTGATCTGTCCTCGAGCACGTGGCGCGGCGTTGTGCGCGGGTTTGGGTGTAGTCTGTGGGCGGGTAGAAGGATACTATGCCTCTGATCTTGAGGACGGTGGAGGAACCTTCTGTGGTGACGGAGACGGCGGATCCGTCCTTGTACGAGGAGATGAGGGAGAGGGCTGAGGTGCCGGTCTGTCGCAACATGGCGATGCGGTCGAGACGGGAAGTCTGTCGCGAGAGGGGGATGTACGAGGCGTTGGGTGTGCTGAAGGGGTTGGTGGGGCTTGTGAAGACGGGCGGGCGAGGACCGAGGACGGCGGTAGGTAGGCTGCCTGCGCGAGAGTCGACAATGGGCTGGCCCGAGGGCGTGCGGTCGAAAAGCTCGCCTTGGAGGCAGAGGGGCACGGTGAAGGACATGTTGCCGCCCGAGGAGAAGCCTGAGATGGCGATGCGGCTGGGGTCGAGCAGGAACTCCTCGGAATTCTGTGCAAGCCACAAGACTGCATCTGCCCCGTCCTCGACTGCGGTCGGAAATGGGTACTCGGGCGCAAGACGGTAGTCGACGCTGACGACGACGGCCCCGACCTGCTCCACCACGACGCCACACCAGCGCGCATCGTCACGGGCGCTTCCCAAGACGAAGCCTCCCCCGTGGAAGTTGATGACGACGGGGAATCTCTTGACCCCCTTGAGTTTTTGGTATCGTTTGTATTCCTTGGGCACATAAAAGTTGAGTCTGAACTTGCCCTTGATGGGCGACACGCTGGCTTCGATGTCGCGGTAGAAGGCGGGTCTGGGTGGCAACGGTCGCGCGAGTTTGTGGAGCATCATGCCAATGCCCATGAGGAAGCGCCAGATCTGTGCCTGCACGTGGAGCACCCATCGCGGCCGGTTGCCGGGTTGTTCTGGTACTTTTTCCTTCTTATTCGCCATGGTGTACGTCTCTTCTGTTACAGGGAGGCTACTCAATCGAGCGCGACATGGGAGCGGAGGAGCAGGAGGAAAGGGGAGAGGCGAGAGAGAGAGAGAGAGAGAGAGAGAGAGAGAGAGAGAGAGACGATTACTATAGTATTGTGTAAGTGGAGGAAGAGAGGCTCTGCCCGTGGATAATGTGGCAATTCAAGTGAGATCAGAATACCAAGACAACACAGCCAACAGACAACAACAACAACAACGACGTCGAGGTTTTTTTTTGGCAGATAGAATGTTGAATCAAGAGTTTGAGCAACAAGACTAGTACGGCTGGCGCGTCCTTGGCCTGGACTTAAGAGTACCATGCACAGCGGATGCTACGCGGCTTCGGTGTAGGTACTCTAGATGGATGGAGGTGTACATGTTCACATCAGCAGTCTGGCCCGTTGAAACAATCCCAGGCGGGGTGAGACAAAAGGAGCGGGCCGTCTTCTGTCAGGTGATGACGTAGGCTTCTGGGGCTTGGTCTACATTCATTGCACTTCGTCCGCCATTGTACCGTCCACCGGCCCTGTCAGGCTGATGACTGATCAACCCTCGGGTCCCGGGACACATGCACTGGCTGACGGTCTGCTGCAGGGACGAACACAGCCTGGGTGTGCAAGTACACAGTATCTGTCTTTGCCTGCTTGGGCCAAGAGATGAAGTCGTCACCCAGACGACTCTCCATGATGATGAGTTGGGGTCTGGCATGTTTCATGTGCCTGTTTGAGCTTCGGCACCCTGTTAGGTATTTGTATTCTTGCTTTCTCCAATCGGTTGGCCGGACAGGCAAGGTCCGATGTCAACGTCATACAGGCAGGCCCGATGAGAACCGGTTGCTACCGGGACGACATGAATTCATGCTGCTCACTACCAAATGCCGTCCTAGGTACCATAGTAGGCGACTATTAGGTTGTTTATGCAGACGCAAGACGAAGCCCCAGGACCATGGACCAAGTAAACAGCAAAGCCAACATGATTTCCTCCCACCAGCAGTACCCAGAATCAGAAAAAAGTCCCATCCCATGATGGTAAAGCAAGCCAGGACGGGTATAGGGCTGCTCAAGTCCTCAGAAAGCGCCGACGCTCACCTGTTGATGCTGCCATGGACCAATATAATGCAACCAACTATCGGAATATCAAAAACAAAAGGAATAGGAAGCAGAACAGCATGGGCAATGGGCGCATGCCTTTACGCATCAACAAACTCGTACTCCTCGTCCTCGGGAGCAACGTTGCGTCGCTTGCATCGCGCTGCAGAAGCGTCGTCGTCGGCATCCCTATCTAGCACCTCATACTCGTTCTTGATAAGCGTATCGGTCGCCTTGGTTTCAAACCGCTCAATCGCCTTCTCCAGCGCGTGGTTCAGAATCTGGCTACCGTGGTTCGGTCCCCGATGGGCGTCGTACGAGTAGGCAATCTCGGCATCTGGGGCAGTCGAAGGGTGCTCAATCTCCTCGTCGGCTGAGGATTCTCCGCTTGCCGAGGCCATGTCTTTGTTGAGCGCGTTGCGAGCCTTCATGGGCCCAGTAGAGGATGACCTGTAGGGTGTCAATACAACCGTACTAGTCTTGAGGATGACCGGCACAAGGTACTAGGACAGCCTACCTGATGTGAGGGAGTATCTTGGCAGGGCGAGGCTTGCTATCGCTCTCACGCCTCCCTGGCCCAAACTGCTGTCCATGCGCCCACTTGACGCGGGAGTTCTTGTCGCGGTTGAACTCCTTCGCATCAGCACGGAGATCGCCCGTGAAGATCTGCTCGGCCGACATGTCGATACTTTGGGTACGAGTCGATGGTCAGGTGTGGAAAGGAGTCCAGAGTGGTTCTGGTGGTTCTGGTGGATGGGCTGTACTGTATGGGAATCGTTGATGCTACCGGGGTGGAGGAGGGTGACGTGCTTCACAACAGGTGACTAGGTAGATTCGAGGTGGGAGGATATGCTGGGAGGAAGGGTAGACCGTGAGCGAGGAAGAGGTAGGGTATAGGGCGAGTGGCAAAGGAAATCAGCTCAGATCAGACAGGAGAAAGGGCGGCAGAGGGGTGACTAGCGGCTGTCTTGTGAATGACTCCAAGGTGTGTGTGTGTGTGTGTGTGTGTGTGTGTGTGTGTGACTCAAGGTAAGAAAAGGACTTGTGCTGTTTGCGAGAAGTGAGTGGCTATGCTATGCTGGTAGGAGAGAGTAGGTGCTCTAGGTACTCTAGTACTCTTCGTACTCTTAGAAGGTGATTGATTGATGACGGCGACTGGTAGACGCAAGTACAAGTACCTGGCCCCTTTTTGTGAGGTCAAGGGCGCATGTGCTCCCCCGCGCCTTTGTTGTTGGTTCCTGATAAGGGAAAGGGTCGAGGTCGAGGTTGGCTGTGCCCGGTGCCGGTAACAGGTTGAGTACCGGTAGTGCCTAGCTGACTGCTAACTTAACCACGGTAAACCTAACCTCATGACCCGTCCACCGTTGCTGCCCACGCTCCGTCTCCTCGTCTCGCCGAGGCCCACATCATCCGGATTCACATCCGGTTTTGGCTCTCCCATGATGGCATCATCGCCTGAATCTCGCTGAATCACTGCGCCTTGATCGCGAACGTGGGCGAGTGGGCGAGCGGCGAGCCTGGAGGCGTGCATGGACGGGATGCATCGATCTCTGCCTACCTACCCCCTACCGATCAGGTTAGCGAAAGCTGCTACGACAGCTCCCGGATGCTTTGAGAGCTATTGAGCCTACTGTAGTACTCTAACTCACCATGTAATAGTAGAGTAGTCGTCGCTATCCAGAGTACTATCATAGGGGGCTCTAGATTACACAGTACCCAATCCTAGTAGACTACCTAGTACCAACACAGTAGAAACTCCCACACTCTACCGGTATGCTACTACAATACATACCTCACCATCTGTGCCCCGATGGCCAATGTGAGTGGGGAAGGGGTTTTGATATATTTTATTATTTTTAGTAATAGTTA